TTTCTACCAATCATCGTGGATATGGTACTGCAACCTTTCTGCAAATCACTGTGAACTTATAAATTTTCATGGGTATAGGTTACAAACGAGTATTGCAGAAAATAATATATTGATTGAATAAGTATTTACAGTTTTTTTCCCTTCGCAACAGACATGTCAAGTACGGTACAAGTATTCAATTGTTTTATCAGAATCTGGTTTAGGGGCCTAATGAACATTTCAAATCGAGAAGCAAGCCCGTATTCGCCATGCAAGCAACATCGAGTTGGCTACCAAATACTTCGGACGGCATTCAAGAGTACAGTCCGCGCGGACTAACCGGCAATTGGAAAGGTCCTGAAGGGAGGCGCACTGTAAAAAATTCGATCCATTATTCGAGAGTCGTTTGTCTTAAGAGAGTACAACTGCGCATGTACCTGCAGCCGCATGACGCTGGCATCATTGCTTTCTCCAAGGCGAAAGTGAACAGTGTCGGAACAAGTTGGAGCTGTTAAGTTCGCTGACTCCTGCGAAGTGTCACTTGTGGTCACGATGAAGTGAACACAGGACAATTAGCATACGACAGTTGTGGACCAGTTGCCATCAAACAGGTTTTGCTGACGGTGCAGTGGCGGCTTTCAACTGATGAATTACATGTCGTGTGCGAGATGCAATTTGCAAACACTTGCACACGTAAATCCCCATAGACAATCCGAGGTGTCATATTACCACCCCATTTACGTTAGGTATCAATCAGCATGGCCCGGCGTTTGCGTTGATAGACCGGCGAATGTACGTACGGCCAAGGTTCTCTGAGTGTATCGACCAAAAAATCACGGACGAGTTGGTGTTGTAGATGGCTTGGCTCATCCGCAGCCAGGCGTACCGTTGGAGATCGTACACGACCGGTCGATCGACGTTGACGTCCCACAGCCAGCGCTGGTAGTCGTAATAGTAGTGCTGCGGTGCACACGTTTTCCACTTTGCGTTGGCGTTCACAATGTCCGACGAGAGTTGGCCCGACGCATAGTGCATAGGGTGGTCAGGGCCCTCTGCCTGAGGGTCCTGCGCGTGAAACTGGATGGTTTTGATACCGTTGGTTTCAGCGTTGAAAATCGCAGTCAGCACGTCTTGAAATGCTTTGCGGTTGGGATACGGATTCGACGGGTCGTCCGCGGGAGCGACGGGGCGCACGTTGTTCATGAGCTCCATGAATCCCGACTGTCCGTCTTGGCCAAATTCTGGCACACGAAGAAAGTAATGCACCATGTTGCCAACAGTCACTTTGGCGATCTTGCGGTTCAACATGGTCACCGTCTCGGTCTTCGGACTCGAGTTGAACTTGCCAATGTTGTCCACCCACGCCGTCGACGCAGCCAACGTCCCTCGCTCTCGAGCAATCCGCCACGAATTGAGCGCGTCCTTGTCGTCCCCAGCCGTCGTGTACACAAACACGACTTTCGTCGATGCGTCAGCGATGCTGTAGTGGTACGTGTTGGCCATAAACAGTTCGTGGTCGTCTTGATGTGCCGTCGTGTAAATGTGCACTTTGGTCGGGTTGGCAAACACGGGCAGGTTTGGTTTGACCGTGGCCACGAACGGCGACGTCAGCCATCCAGCAACCGTCGTCGTGGAACGAGACAATAGCGGTCCGAACAACGTGCACGTTGTCGACGATCGGGTGGTTGCAGCGCAGGCAGTCGCTGCTGGCGTCGATGCTTCGCACGCCGCCATGCATGCCCTGTCGTCGGCTCCATTCACCGATGACGAGAGGGCAAAGTCGACGGGGATTGTCTTCGCCACCGATACAACGGGAGACGTGGGAAGCAATGTAGCGCGCTGGCGAAGGAGGGTCTTCGCGGACGAGCTGAGGAACTGGTGGCCCAAACAAATCTCGTTGTCCGGCAAGTACGTGAAGAAGGATTCGCCATGGGCCGCCACAAGCGCCGCGCATTCCCCCACCGATGTCACCGACGTGAACGGCATGATGGTGTTGGCGCCACCTTGAATGGACACAGTTAATTGCTCAGGTGCCGAGCCATGCACGTGATGGGAAATCGTGGCGTTCATTGCTTCCAGGAAAGAGGTCGACTCCAATTGTGTGGCGGGGAACCATTGCGCGCCCGCAACAAACGAGAACGCAATCTTGTTCACTCGCACGTCGGGCGACGTCGAGGCGTCAACTACGGTCAGCGGCGAGGACGACGACGTCCGAAAGGCAGCGACGACGTTCCACGAAGGGTCGAGGTTGTCTTGTCGATTGGCAGCGGTGTGCTTAATGCAGCACCCAAACTTCGACACCACAAACAGCTTGCACTGGCTGTTGGCCGCACACTTGGCGCAGCACGCGTCTGGCGTGACGATGGACGGCGTGCACTCGATGTCGTTACCGCTGTAGTCTACATTTGGTTGGAGTTGAGCGCATTGCGATGGCTTGACCACGCTGGCGCTGACGCCCTGCTTGTAGACGCGAACTAGCGGGCCGTACTTGAGGTAACATGTTCCCCATCCATAGGAAAACCCAGTGCAGCTCGGGTTGGCGCTGCAGATCGGACAGCACTCTTGCGCAGAATTCGCAGAAGCAGTGTCCAGGTCGTTGCCTTGAAAGTCCGTGTTGGCTTCAATGGCAGTGCACGATCCGACACCAGTAGACGTTGCCACAGCACTCACACCGGCTTTTGAAATGCGAACCAAGGCGCCGTACTTGAGGTAGCACGTGCCCCAGGCGTAGGCAAACCCGGTGCAGCTCGGGTTGGCGCTGCAATGGGGGCAGCACTCTTGAGCGGAGGCCGCGGGCACAGAGGTCAAGTCGTTGCCTTGGAAGTCTGTGTTGGCTTCGACGACCCCGCACCACGACGCGGCTGACGCGGTCACGATCAAGGCTGCGATCGCCACGACCACCACCACACGACTCGCTGGAAACAGCATTGCCCTTGGACAGTGCGGTCTGTGCTGGTAAATTGAACTGTAACTGCGCACCGAGACTCGCTGCGTACGCAACCCTGGGTGAGACTACACCCATGGTGACCCCCACGAGCAGTTGGACTCGGTGGAGGGAGTTGTGCGAATGGACAATCCAATTGGTCCATCCGACATATATCCAGCGACAGGATCTGGTACGGTTGGTCTCAGACGGGGACTCACGAATCGCCGAGCAACACGGCTGCCCTTGCATGCGACACTATAGAAGCGGAATCGACGACTTGGTCGAACAGTCTCCCATCAGTGTCGCCTTGGCACTGCTATTTGTCCGTTCGAGGTAGCCATCTCATTTTGAGCCGTGTGTCTCACAGGTGGCCATGGGAGTTGTACACACTGTACACCGCTTCTGACGGAACAGGTTGGACGTACGTATCTGATGCGGAAGCCCCACGTACCTGTTCTGGGGGGCGGCTTAGAATATTGGAGATTCGTCTAGAAGAAGTGCCCAGATACGTCCAGCAACCAGCCCACAGCGCCGGAAAGACCGTCGGCGCGAATGCGGTCGGACGAGAGCCCAGCTCCAGGAGTCCCGTGGTATCGACTGATGTAGCGTGTCCTCTCCTCGGGAAGTGCGACGGATAGGCTGTCCAATGGCACCGCTCCCAGGCGAGGCCAACACGTGTGCTCACTGTAGTCTGTTGTTGCGAGCAGATTTCAAAGGCTACATTCGCACACAAAATCGCAATTCCTACAAATTCTGTGCGGATGGCAGCCACCAGCCAATCGCCACCATCATGCCGTATTCGTTCTTCCAAGCCCCCATCTCATGTCCGCGCACCGCTTAAGTTGAAATTGAACCAAACTGCACAATGCAAGGACTTCGAACGCAACAAATGGTGCAGACATGCACAACGTCCCGTGTTGTGTTGGGCAATTCATTGCGATGACATGGTCATTGACGAAATCGAGTGTGGTACAAGAGCACACAGAGTGTCCTGGTGCTTGGATTCCGACTTCGGTAGTCAGGTCGTGTCTTGGTGACGCCGGGAAATTGCGACACAACTGGCTGTGTCAACACCAGTCAATTGTCTTCCAGACATGTAGTGATTTTCTCGATAGTTAGTGTCAGCGTGGGGCATTCGACAAGTATCCCGCAATGACGTATTTCATGCACCATGCAATTGCTTGTTTGGTCGTGGTTTTCGCGGCCTTGATGTCGTCGACGGCGTCCCCACTGGCACTCTCGGTCAAAGGTGCCCCTGCGACCACCGAGTGGCATTCTCGAACGTATCGATGTGGGTGCGCGGGACTCCGCGGGGGTCGCCTCGTTCGGAGTGATGACATGGACAATGACGACCGCCACTTCGCACAATTCGCAGGTCTACAGTACCGTGCAGGGCTTCGATACCGCGGAGCTCCATTGTGGGCTGCAGGAGGCATCGGGCCTTTGGGTGGCCGATACGTAGCTGCAGGAGACGGATATCGTTGGGTTGCTGCGGGTACAGCTCCGCGGGGAATACGTTGGACAGCCACTGGAGCATTGACAGACAGTGACAGCGCGGGAGTCATGCTCAGCGATACAACGACGGATAACATTGCTCAAAAAATGACCGACAACACCAAAGCTGGCAAACCCATGACCGCAACCGACGACACGACCAGCCCACGCCAGTTGACCGAGTACGAAAGCGCGGACTACGAGAGCGACGAATTCGCCTAGACTACACCAC